AATTTCAGACAAATCCGTGAAAAAAATGTGGCAAAAATCATTAAAATAACGTATATCGGGAGGTACCGTTATATGGGGACTATACCAAAACGTGGACCGATATATGTAATTTTCAATACCAACCATCCTAGACACAATACAAATTGCTCTGCTAAATTTTGGCGATCTACGTCAAATAATGTGGGCTGTATCGTGATATTAACAGACAGACGGACATCGTTAAATTGTATGCTGATTATGATATATATATATATATATATATATATATATATATATATATATATATATATATATATATATATATATATATATATTATGGGGTCTACGACGAATATTTAAGGATGTTACAAACGGAATGACAAAGTTAATATATATATATATAAAAACATGGGGTTTCATTGGGTCTTTCAAAACTGGACTTCATTTCAACAGACTCAGACACAGAAAACGTCCTATTCATACTTCCTTTCATCGTAAGTTGAACAAGGCAAATTATTTTTATTCGAGTGTAAGATAATGTATAACCCAAGTCATGACTTTTTTCTTCTCATAACATCAAGTGTTTGTCGCCCATATGTATGTATATGTACTTGTAAATGTATATATCATTATTATATACACAAAGACCTACCATAAGTGTATCTAGTTAAGACATTCTATAGGTAATATATATGTGTATGTGAATATATATATAAATTGTGTGTATGTGTATATTTCTGTGAGTAAAAGGAAAACAAGTTTGTTACATACCCCAAGAAGTGAAGTGACTGCTTTCGTATTCATTGTAATAAGGGTACTTATATTCATTTGATTATGATGACATTTTTATTACCTGTAAAATAAGCAAGAAAGAAAGAACGAAACAAGAATATGAAATAGAATAGAATAGTATAAGATATAAATATATAGTGTATATATTGTATTTATATTTTCATTTTGGCCCCAAAACTAGGTTAAGTTTTATGTAATGAAATTAATTTAATTTGTATAAGTTTTGTGACCGATGAAACGATGAAATTTAATTATGCCCAACACCACCACCACTATGTAAGAATGCAATGACTTTTATTAAAATGTTGATACTTAGCGCGTAATTTGGGTTTACAAGGAAATGCCTTCTCAATAAAAATAAAAAAATGACTTAAGAAGATTTTGATATCTTCATTTTGTCTATTATATATAGTTATTATTTCTATAGCTGTTTTGACACTACTATAAAATGATCAAATGTGCAATTCATGCAATTGTTAAAATTTTTTTAATACACATCCGATTTTGAAACTAGGGAACCCAAATGATAGTTTTCTGTAAAATACGCCTTTAATTAATTTAAAGCAATAATTTCATACACGAATAATTATTTATAATTTTCTAGAGGATTATTCATCATTCAATTTCATCTTGAAAAGGGATAAGAGAAGATATGAGAAGAAAAGCTAATAAATTGTCGAAAATTGTCAATCTATAGGCGTAAACGAGATAGAGGTAGGCAAACCGAAATATGTGTTATAGCCAGATTTGGGTCCTTATATATTACATGACAATGTCCCATAAAATCAAGAAAATAGGATGGAACTCGTATGTATCTCGTTCATAAGAATAGGGTACCGACTAGGATGACTCTACATTTAGAATCACAACCACGTATTAGCCATTCACTGGAAATGGAAATAATATTGCTAAGAGCCTGTGTCCGGCATTTCATTCCTAAGCTTCTTTTGCTTGGGTGTGTCCAATCCTTTTACTCGAATGTTATCTGTATTTTTTCAATGGATAATGGGTAAGGTCGGGGTTCGAAAACCTTCTTATTTTGCATCTTTTGCTTGTGTGTGTCCAAAATCCTTTTACTCGAATATAATCTGTATTTTTTCAATGGGTAAAGGTTAGTTCGGCCTTAGAAAACCTTCAGACGAAAGGAACGATTTTCTTCCTCCGAAGAAACCAAAATACAGAGTTCCAATTACATCGACTGAGAAATATGGCGAAAACGCTCACAATAACTAAAATAAGGAGGGGGAGTGCATTTATAACGGCTGTACGAAAACCTGGACCAACTTTAATAACTTTTTGCAAATAATGTTTTCACATAATAACTCAATTTACCAAAATTAGGCTAAATTAAATGAAATGTCAAAAATATTTAAAAACGGGCTTTACTCTTAATCTGGTACTGGGCTGACATGGGCAACAGTTAAAGCAAATATCATAAGAAATCCAAAACTCTAAATTAATTTTAAAAGCCCTATTGTAAATGTTCTGAAATATATCTCAAACTATTGGGATCCCTTTGTGTATGGTCAAGTATATTCAAAAGCCTTAAGCAAGTTTGGAGTAACAACCTAAAACTCTTTTTAGGTTCTTAAATAATGGGAATTTTTCAGCGAATTCAGAAAGAGCTATAAATTTTTCTAAAGTAAAGAAGTTTTTATATACTCAGTCATAGAAAGGGTATACAGGGTAAGATAAAAAACTTCAACAAAGTTAAATGCCATAATTTTTACATTTTTTTTAATTTTATTGAATGAAAGTAAAAAATGTCGGAAATAGCATCAAATTTTAGAATAAGTTTAGATTTGTTCGAATTGGTCACCTTTGGCTCGAATGATGCCCTTCAAACGGCAAATGAAACCGTCACACGCTGCCCAAATGTTGCTCTGCGGTATTTTGGCTTATTACCAGCGAAGTGTTTGCTTGAGGTGATCCACACTTTCGTATATTTTTTTAATTTATTGAACGAAAGCAAAAATGTCGGAGATAGCACCAAATTTTAGAATAGGTGTAGATTTGTTCGAATTGGTCACCTTTGGCTCGAGTTATGCCCTTCAAACGGCAAATGAAACCGTCACACGCTGTTCTACGGTATTTTGACCCATTCCCGGCTAAGCGCTTGCTTGAGGTGATCGACACAATGGAATTTTTTAGTGCCGTCCTTACTTTCCAAATACTCCAGACACAATAGTCCAACGGATTGGTATCCGGAGATTTTGGTGGTCATTGTACGCTGGAAATGAAGCGAGGAACATCATTTTGTAACTATTCTTGTGATCGACACTTTGGAATTTTTTAGTGCCAATCTTTCTTTCCAAAATATTCCAGACACAATAGTCCAACGGATTGGTATCCGGAGATTTTGGTGGCCATTGTGCGCCTGAAATGAAGCGAGGATCCTTATTTTGTAACCATTCTTGGGTGGTGTGCTGAGTGCGATGGTGCAACGTCCTGTTGGAATGTCCAAGGTATGCGGCCAAAACGTGTGCGTGCCCAAGGCTTTAATGAAAATGGTATATGAAAAAACTCTAACCAACTGACTGCTGTAATTTCTAAGCCAGTAGTCCGAGAGCTGTTAAAATTATGCCAGTGACAGCTCATATTATTGTTTACAAGCGTACAAAAGCATTTTGATGAAAATTTTCCAGAAAAAAGGGAATGGGCCAAAAACCGCTGATCAGGATCGGGCAGCGTGTGACGGTTGCATTTTCCGTTTGAAGGTCATAATTCGTGCCAAAGGTGACCAATTCGAACAAATCTAAACTTATTCTAAAGTTTGATGCTATTTCCGACCTTTTTTGCTTTCATTCAATAAAATTTATATAAAAAAATGTAAAAATGATGGCGTTTGATTTTGTTGCAGTTTTTTTATCTCACTCTGTATATGGTACCTCACACACATTTTAGCATTTTCTAAAAATTATCAAATATCCCATATGAAGTGAAGGAAGTATCCAATATAGTTAAAACCTGGCACGTCCCGATATTTATATCACATTAATTTAGGTCCGATACAAAATGGACAAATTGGCCTATTCTTTCGGAACTTACTCCATAGAGAGTCAACAATTTGAATAATTATAACAGAAATCAAAATATATTTGAATAATCGAACATTGCTTGTGGGTATATATCTGCCGGCAAAACGTGGACCTATATATACTATATTCCACCACAGCAGCTAGAACCTATTGTGAACAACAAATATCAATTTATAGGTAAATCCGTGACAAAATGTTGCGAAAATCATCAAAATACAGAATATCGGGAGGTACGGTTATATGGCGGCTATACCAAGAAGTGGACCGATATATCTCATTTTCAATACCATCGTAGACACAATAGAAATTTTTCTGCCAAATTTTGAAGCTCTACATAAAATATCGTGATTTCAACGGACAGACGAACATCGATAAATCGACGTAGAATTTTACGCTGATCATGAATATGAAGTATACATATACGTGAGGCCTACGACGAATATTTAGGGATGTTACAAATATAATGTCAAAGTTTGTAAACCCTCCTTTTCAAGGTGGAGGGTATAAAAATATGAAGGTGGTGTTGGGTATCAAATGGTCGGCTGTGACGACTAAGTAATTTATTAGACAAATGACAAAGAATGTAACGTTATTTTTTATGTTATTGAAGCAATGGAAATCTACCTAAAATATTAAATAACTGTTATACTATAAGTGTTCTAAAAGGATCATATGCTTATTTCACAATATCATGCTATATCATCAAACAGCTTCAATATTCCTAGCCTAACGTTCCCCAAAGGACTCCAGTAACGCAGCAGCTTCTAGCTTTTGGCGATATTAGTTTTGTGTTAATAAATAAATGATATGTTTAACAGCATATTAACAAATAATATGTGATGTTTCTCGATGTATGCGTGTGTGTTCGTTTATAACCAGCTGATATTTAAACAAAATAACATACAAATCAAATATTGTTATAATGGTCAAAATTAGCATAATTTTATTCGAGTAAAATTATTTTTTATTCAAAAATTGCCATTATAGCAATATTTGACTGTATCCTATACTAACAATATAATAACCTATGTAATACAATTGATATAACCTATTTTCTATGTGTCTGTCTATGTGTGTGTCTGAATATCGTTATTGAAAATACCATTATTTAATTTGATATTTTCTGTTTAATCTTTTTTGTGCCACATAAACAACCGCTGAATCTGTACTTGATCTGGTTGATATCAATAGCAAATCCAACATTATATGCCCATTATGTATTCAATACACTTGACCAGGACCATACGGGAATTGTGAGTTTTGAGGTGAGTATTAAAATAAATTTAACAATTAAAAAAAAAAGAAAAAGAAATAGATTTAAAAAAATAAATTATTTTTTCCAAACACACATTGAAATCCACTTTCCATTTTATTTTTTTTTTTTTTTTTTTTTCAAAATTTCATTTTAAACCTTTAATCCTGCAAATGCTCTCTCTCTCATCGCACTGCAGTGGCCATTTGTAGTCGAGGGAATTTGTTTTGCACAAATTGAACAAACAACAATTCATTTGCCATAAATTTTGCTGAATTCTCATTTAAACAATGAAATCTCATCACAATCAAATCTCCCATTTCAATTAAAATTCTTTATTTTGTTTGGTTGGGTGTGTGCGGAGGTTGAAGGCGGGTTTAAACTTTTGGAAAATGAATTTTCATTTTATTCATTTATTTTCCCATTCAAACAATCGTTCATTCATTCGTTTCGTTCGTTTCATTCATTCATTGTGGGTTTATGTGGCCCGCCCAAGAGCGCTCACATTGTTCGAAATCATCCTCATCAGCACCATTTATCGCTTCAATTATTTTATTCAAATTGCGATCAAATGAGTGTGAACTAATTGCACTGTTTCAAACTTTGTGCATCGCAAAACAATGGTAAATCACAAATATGTATTCGTTAAGACAACAATGCGGAAAGTAGTTCCAAGTAGTTCCGCTTTTGAAAACTGATTTGTTAAATTGAAATCCATTGCCTGTTTATTAGTGTTGAAATTTCGTTATTATAACAATGATATAATGAATGGATGATAATGGGTTATAATTAGGAAACATTGGGAATAATTTGTTAAAGGCAAGACAAGGCCGAATTTTATTGAAGAATATTTCTTCAGGGACCAGCCAAGGCATGGCTTTATATAAGTATATACATAGACCAGCTAAGACTTGGATTTATTTAGGAATATTTTTACAGCTTCAGCCATATGGCTGCAAAGGATATATATCATTTGCTACGGCCACAACGTGGCTCATCGAAATAATGGTTTTAGGCCCGAGGTCTCTTTGGACCAAATCCGTTTCTCGAAGGGAGTATCCGATATGATCCAAACTTGGTACATCCCAGTATCATAAATAAACTTAGATCAAGTTCGGAGAAGGACAATATGGGTCCATCTTACCACAGAAGTGGGTCTGGTACCTTACCCACAGAAGTCGAAACTTTCACAAAATATTTTACTGCACAGAAAAAGGATAATCCGATTTGGCTCCAACTTTGCAAATCCCAATATTTAATTCAGTGCTAGGCCAGGTGCGAAAATGGACAATATCGGTCCACTCCTCAACAACATTTTGAATGCCCATGAAGTTCATAAAACGAAAAATTAACCATCCATCAACACAAGATCTGTTATAAAGATGATAAAAATCACACCATTTCTTCTGGTATCTCCCCACATAGGGTTCAACATTTTGAGTAACCATCATAAGATCCGAAATAAGAATCCGGCTCTCATTCTAAGTTACTGTTCTGTGGACCCTTTTATCTGTAATTTCCCTAAAATTGAGCGATTATTCTTCGGAAAAATTCCTAAGTCTGAAATTGTTTTTGCATATAAGGTCCATATATTCGGAAAGTACTCCTCGAGACCTTTCATTTGTGCCCAGCCTCGACACCGCTTCATTCTTAGTTTCAGTACTGTGGACCCTTTTATCTACAATTTCCCTAAAATTGAGAAATATTTCTTCCGAAAATTTCGAAAAATTCCTAAGTATGAAATTCTTTTTGCATCAAGACCTTTCATATGTACACAGCCTTAACCCCGCTTCATTTTTGAATATGTTATTCTAGGTTTAAATGTAGTGTTTTCAAACTTTTTCAACGTAAATTTTAAATATTTTTTATTTAGCAATTTCATTGTAAATTTGAAATTTGCAGGAAATGTTTGAAATTTGATCAACGCTAATATAACATAATTTACATTTAATTCTGCTCTGGTTTACTACCCCCTCTCTCTCTCCATTAACCCTTTGTGAACCGGAGAAAAATAACCATGGTTTGTGTATTAAATTTAAGATAAGATTTTTTAAGATATAAACAATTTCGCCACCTACCCGACTCAAGCTCTTTCGAAATTAATCTCCCCGATAAACCGCCAGCTAAATCATAATTATAAAGTCACAACAACTTTTGTTAATTTTCTTTTGTTTAACTAAGCAACACAAACAACAAAACAAAAATACGCGTCGAAACTTATTTTCAATTACGTCCTGACGGGCTGGCTGGCATGTGTTTGAAACTTTATTTCCTGTACACCTTCAACTTTATCAACATTGCTGTGGCAACAATTGTTGCAGGCGAATTCGAAGCAATATATATTTTTTTATTTTTTCGTCTCCACTTAGGCGTTATTGAATTCAAGTAGCCTGCCTCTACATCCATCAGACACTAGAGTCAACAACAATAATGCCAGCACTTTTCATTGAACTTTGTGTATAGAGCGTGTATATAGTGGTGTACGTTAGTGGGTGTGTTGCTAGCTCGCTTGGCCATGAAGTTATACCATCAGATGTTTTTTTGGGGGGGGTGAAACAAAGACGATTTGAAATGAGGTTAAAAAACTGTACAGAATCATAATTAATTAAGCGTAACATGACCAAACGCCACCACGGAGCCGCCAAGTCGAAGATGAATTCTTCATCTCGAAGTCCTTGTGTGTGTGGGTGTATGCGTGTGGCTCAATTCTAAGGTGAATGGTTTTCTCTGAAGTTGGATTGTAATTTCTAATGAAAAAGTATCCGCAGCAGAAGCAGAAGCAGCTAGTAATCAGCAGCAGCAGCAGCGACAGCTGTTTACTTAAGAAGTTTAGCAAGGCCATATTTATCTTATAATATTGTTGGTTTTTTTTTTCTTCTTCTTTTGTTGTTTTCAATCCAATTGTGTAGAGTTTACAAAGTTGTAAAGTCGTAAAGTCGTATTGTATCGCTGGCGCTGAGTGTTGTGTCTTACCTCTGGGGAATACATTTCACCTTTAGATTAAATTTAATGTCAAAATAACGAGTCCACAAGGGCCATGGTGAAAACAAACACGAAGCGATTGTAATGAACAGTGACAGGTTATTGCGAACATCTGGTGGTATGGCTGGTACGGCTGGCGTTCCCTCCGTCTCTCAAGAGATTAAAATCTCATGAGATATTCAATTAGTAATTTTTATTATGACAAATGCCATAATGATTAAATCGGCTTAGGTTTTTAAATGAATTATGGCAGATAGGTATAGGAATTTGAGACATTAATACATTTGGAATTGAAATATGAATCTGCAGAAATGCTGAAGATAATGCTCAACACTTTAAAATATTTTTTTTAAACTGATAACTCCTTTCGAATGAATACCATAATCTAACTTTTGTAGAATGGAAACCTTAAAGATAGGGTGAGATACAAAAACTGCAACCATCCACAAGTGGCTATCGTTAGAGCCCTCCAGCATTTAAATAACTCAAAAGAGCTAAAGAGTTACTTCGCTTGGCCGGAAGAGATAAACTGCCGAATTTTGTTTTCTCCGATGAGAAAACCTTCGTTGTCCAGCAGTTTGTAAACAAACAAAATTATCGTGTTTACTTGCAAAGAGGTCTGCTGAAAATGTGCACCTTCGATTGGCCACCAGAACTCAGGCGCCGGCCATGGTGATGGTGTGGGCCGGCAAAACAGCCGATTGTCGCTCTCCGCTCGTATTAATCGACCGTGGCATCAGAATAAATGACGAATATTATCGTGAAAAAATTCTGGAGGGTGTATTAAAGCATTGGGTATGTAGAGATTTTGACCGCAGACCGTGGACATTCCAACAGGACAGCACCATCGCACTCAGTACGCGCCAAACAAAAATGGTTACAAAATGAGGTTCCTCGCTTCATTTCCAGCCCACAATGTCCACCAAAATCTCTGAATACCAATCCGTTGGACTATTGTATCTGGAGTCTCATTGGCCGTTTGAATGCCATAATTCGTGCCAAAGGTGACCAATTTCAAAAAAAAATCTACACTTATTCTAAAATTTGATGCTATTTCCGACATTTTTTGCTTTCATTCAAAAAAAAAATTTAAAAAAAATGTAAAAATTATGGCGTTTGACTTTGTTGCAGTTTTTTTTTTTATCTTAACTTGTATGTTTCATTCGATTTGGTGTTGAAGTCCCTCTCATGGTAATATGCACTCCACAACAATGATATTTGGTACCAGATATCTTATAGAGCTCAGAAATACCTTTGCCAAATTTAATCGAAATAGGATAAGATTTGGATATGGCTCCCTTTGTGCAAAAAATGGCTAATATCAGCCCAAATGGAGTAAATTTTGGGACGTACGTTTCCATTTGGCGGAATTCGGTTCAGATATATGTGTTTTAATATAATTCTTCTCGAAATGATATCATGCACTTCATATTTTTTGGTATAAAAGATAAAAATGTCTCCGTCAAATTTGGTGAACATTGGTTCAGACTTAGATTTGCCTGCCAGATAGTAGTTCCCTTTGAAACCAAATTATAACTGCTCTAAAGTCAAAGAATGATATGTGGTATGATCTACCTCAAATAAATTATTTTGTTGTGGTGGCCCACTAAATATGCATAGTGGTGTAGGGTATCATATATGGATTAAATCTAAAACATAGATATTTAAATTCTTCTTTGTGATACTTAATGACTTTAAATTCAATGCGGAAAAAAACATTTAATTTCCTTCTTTTTATGACCTTGATTTTCATGATAATTATCTAACATTTCTCCTGCGTTTCCTTATTCTTATGTTTTTACTTAAATTTAATTTCGCCAGACACGTATATAATGTATTCCCTTAGATGCTAAATTTGTTCATGGATTCCGTCGAAACATAATGGTTTTGCCCCCGCCCTTTCCAGAAGTTAAATATTAAGAAACGTTATTATACCCTACCTAAGTAAAGTAATGGCAATTGCCATTAAATGTTATTTCAACACGTAAAAATTTGTGTTATTTTTTATTAGCGTAGATCACGTGAGTACTT